CTTGTACATGTCTGTGAGGTTGCTCTACACATTACTAACGTTATCTTGTACATGTCTGTGAGGTTGCTCTACACATTACTAACGTTATCTTGTACATGTCTGTGAGGTTGCTGTACACTATCCCTCAGCTCCTCTCTGACCCATCCGCTGGCACTCATGCTCTAGTCCCAGAAGGTCAGCATTTTAAGGTCAGGCAGCATTTGTTGAGGATATGAGTGAGTTTGTCCCCAGAGTCCTGCATCACTACTGTCCTCATCCCAGCAGCTAACGCAAGCTGTTCCAGCCATTGCACCACTAAAGTACATGAAAGCCAATAGCCAAAGAATTTCCTGCTGATATTAATGACTATGGGTGACTGTCGACTGAATGGAAACAGAAGTACAGAAGTATAAATGACACATCACAATGGAAAATATCTGAAAATAAAACTAAATCAATTCTTAATTTTGTTTATATTTACTGTTAAACGCCTGTTTCCCCATTTCTGTCACTGCTGAGGGGTGTGTCCAGAGAAAGTTGAATGACCTTGGACCCATAGCCCGTAAGCTTGTCTGTAATGTTAATGCTGTGCCCCAATGGTGTAGTTAATGGGAGGCAAATCAAACTGAACACGAGATTCTGCAGGCAAAATTCTGTTCTTCAACCTGTGATACGATATTCTGACGCACTTAAAATGTTGGTCTTCCTGTGGAAATCAGTAGATCAGAGTATGATTACGTGCTCAGTTTGTGCTGCCGCCGCATTATTTACGCACATGAGTGTGTGCTTCATAAGATCCCAGGTCTCATACACTTATGGGACTCCTGCCATCCTTATGAAGGGGGTGTGCCCCCAGATTTTGGCCCAAAGTATCCCAGCACTCCCTGCAGAATAGTATGAGGGATAACGTGTCTGCCAGTGGGTAGGAAAAAGGAATATTTATTACAAACAGTGAACCTCCAGATGCAGGCCCCGCCTCATGCGGTCTCTGTCTCCACCTACTGGCTACTTTGAGGATCAGTGTTCGGCCGAATTGCCAGTTTTTGCATAATCAATTTTGTGGCATTTCACACGTTCTCTTCATATAGTTGTGCTATTAATAGTAATATTAATAGCTTCACATGTACAATTTAATTTCTATGAAGTCGGTAAGCTTTATGCCTGTCATGGATACCACTGAGATTTATGACACAAAAGACGTTCATAATGAAATTCCACAATGTATGGAACATGTTTATCAAATGAAAACTATAAGCACTTCGTTTATATTTAGGAAAAAATATGAGTGAATTAAAGTTTATTCTGTAATAAACGGCTGTCCTGTGTAACACCCTAGCATTCTGCACATCGCCATTTGCTCATGTCGTTGTGCTAAACAAGTCAATTCAAGCCTCACGATATCCAATTATTAAAGCAATTACTGGCAGTCACATTTTCCGCTTGTTTGAATCCAACAATCCAAGAAGTTTGAGTACTTCCCAATGTAGACATGATGCGCTTTGAATATTTGTAATGCGCGTGTACGTAGCTTGTCCTGTTAATGTTTCGGGATTATTCGGAGATCATTTGCTGTCTTTATTGTGCTCAGTGCTGGCTGTGGCTTCCCGATCCCCAATCAGTTAATAAAAAAAAGGATGAGAACCCAAGTCTCCCATCTGCCGTCGTATTACGTGCTCTGGTTATTTAAACCAAAGGATTACACTTTTGGATGGTTAAGTGGTATATTGAGGCTATTGTTTTTTAACAATTAAGTTATATTCATTGTTTATTGTTTGAAGCGATTGCGTACTTGTTCAGTGTATTTCAAAAAGCTTATCCAACCTCAGTCACACCCACACATTTTATGCCAAGACTTACATGTGTATTGTGGTTTCTTTCTCTTGCTTGCTAGTCATTTTAAGCATGGGAAGATTAAAGCCCCAGTGTAATTATGCATAAAGCGCTTATGTGATCACCCACCAATGAGAGAGCCCAATCCCTCCCCGTTGATAAACATTAATTTGTTGCACGATAAAATCACAGGAACACATTCCATCATACACGCACACCCTGTGAAATTATTATTTGGTAGGCTATTTGTAGTTTAACGGACAACGTATAGTTTTTACTTTTACTTATTTTATGTTGACATAACTCCTTGTAATCTTTGCGCGCCAGTCATATGTTCTTGTTTTTACATATCGAATAAGTTGATTTTGTCGCTTGATGGCGATCGGCGTACTGCATGACACTGACATGAACCAGAGAATCTCTGGAAGGTGGATGTTACGACTGCTGATGCTAACTTTGGGTCTGAGCCTCGGTGTTTTGGACTCAGCCCTGGTGCAGATACGCTACACTGTGCCAGAAGAGCAGGAGCGAGGAGCCTTTGTTGGAAATATCACCGAGGACCTGGGCTTGGAAATTGCTGTGCTGTCCTTACGCAGATTTAGAATAGTTTCTAGTATTAAAAAGCAGTATTTGGCAGTCAATTTGCAAAATGGAATTTTATTTGTGATTGAGAAGATAGACCGAGATGAAATGTGTGAGCAAAACCCGACTTGTTTTTTCTATTTACAGGTCGTCATTGAAAATCCTTTTGAACTCTATAGGATTGAAGTGGAAGTTCTGGATGTGAACGACAACGCACCCAGATTCCCTCAGAGCGAATTAAGCTTGGAGATATCCGAGTCGTCTCTCACTGGCTCCCGCTTTCCACTGGACAGCGCACAGGACATGGATGTTGGCGTGAACTCTCTGAACACCTATCTGCTCAGCGTTAACCAGCATTTTGCGCTGGAGGTGCTGACACGCAGCGATGGCACCAAGTTTGTGGAGCTGGTGCTGGACAGTCCACTGGACAGGGAGAAGCAGACGACGCATCAAATGGTGTTAACAGCAGTGGATAGCGGCACCCCTGAGAAATCTGGTACCATCCAGATCATAGTATTTGTGTTAGATGCTAATGACAATGTTCCCGTCTTTGATCGTTCTGTCTACCGGGTGAAGTTGTTTGAGAATTCACCGCAGGGCACAACTGTCATTAAGCTCAACGCTTCAGACATGGACGAAGGTTCCAACGCGGTCATCTCTTATTCTTTCAGTGGGCACTCGCCGTTAAAAGTGCGTGATTTGTTCGAAATGGACTCTTCCACGGGTGAAATCAGAGTAAAAGGAGTTTTAGATTATGAAAAGGCCAAAACGTACGAAATATATGTCCAAGCTAAAGACAGGGGTCCGTCGGCAGTTGCCGTGTACTGCACGGTACTCGTCGATGTTTTAGATGTAAACGACAATCGTCCAGATGTTTTTCTTACTTCAGTCTCTATGACCATCCCAGAGGATGCATCTCCCGGCACGGTAATTGCTGTCATTAGTGTTATGGACCGTGACTCTGGTGAAAATGGGAATGTGATTTGTCACATTCCCAGAAATACACCTTTTGAACTTCTCAGCTCCTATAAAAATTACTACACACTGATCACGAGCGATTTCCTTGACAGGGAAATTGTGGCCGAATACAACATCACGTTTAGCGCTAGGGATCTGGGCACACCCTCACTCTCCACAACAACAAGAATCTCAATTCAAGTCTCTGACATAAACGACAATGCTCCTGTCTTTGCGCGTCAGGCATACACGGTCTATGTTACTGAGAATAATGTTCCGGGAGCTTCCATTTTCTCAGTGACAGCAGTTGATCCTGATTGGGACTATAATGCTTGTTTGTCCTACTTTATTTTGGGGGGTCAGATTCAAGATATACCCGTGTCCATTTACATCTCAATCAACTCAGCCAATGGAGACATCTATGCATTGCGCTCCTTTGACTATGAGAAATTCAGAAAGTTTCAGTTTCAAGTTCAGGTCCAAGATGCTGGCTTGCCACCTTTGAGTAGCAACATCATGGTGAATGTCTTTGTTTTGGATCAAAATGACAACGCCCCGATCATCATATCCCCCTTGCCCACCAATGGCTCGTTCGCCACGGAGACTGTGCCCAGGTCAGCAGATGCGGGCTATCTAGTGGGGAAAATTATTGCGACAGATGCGGACGCTGGGCAAAATTCGCGTCTCTCCCACCAGCTTATACAGGCGACAGATCCAACATTGTTTAGCCTTGCCCTGTACACAGGAGAAATTAGGACAATTCGAAGGCTAACAGACAAAGACGCCAGAAGACAAAGACTAATAATTTCGGTCAAGGATAACGGTCAACCCGCCCTCTCGGCTACAATTTCAATTATCGTGTCAGTGGTCGACAGCGTGCCAGAATCCCTATCTGATCTGGACGACCTCTATGTGGCTCCGCCACGAGCCGCTAGTCTTATTCTGTACATGATTGTTTCCTGTGGTGCATTTTCGTTAGTATTACTTGTGGCTATAATCGTCCTGAACTCCATTAAAGGATACTGGATCAGACACTCCACTGAAAGCCGCGACTCCATCTGGGGATTGTGCTGCGGGGTCGGATCCGGAGACTCCAATGAAAATGTAATAAAATCCAACCCGCACAAACGTGTATCTGCGAGGACCACAACATCCGCTGGGTTTGGTGAACTGAAAAGTAGCTGTGCTCATACCCATGCGTCCTGTTTGCAAGTGTGTTTGACTCCGGGGTCGGTGAGCAGCGATTTCATGTTTCTAAAAGCTGGCAGTCTGACCCAGATCAAGAACAATGCGAAAGGAGATGATTGTCCAGAGCTGGGCTGGAAAACGTTTAACAAAGGAACGGAATCACCCTACAAGGTAACGACGTTGCCTGCAGTCTATTGTAGGCCTATAGCTTAGTCAGTGTTGCAGGCCGTTGAACCAAAAACTGAAGTTTTGCATCAATCGGTGCATAAATGTACAGTAATTTGCTTAGTTATGAGATAAACAGGCTTAGTATTATTTAATGCTATAGTAACCTAACCTATAGCCTATAGTTCATTTCCAGTACCAGCATTTACTTTGTTTATATGTAGCGTTTATTTTAGTATACCTAGTATGGTTAGTTTATAGTTTAATATTAGGCCTACATTTTACGTCATATTTTGTGTTTCTTCTATCCTGAGCGCCGAGCAAACAGGTCCACACAGTGCGCTGTCATTATGTTACTTGTTTATTTAAAAATTGTTGTATTTGTCATTGACAGAGTGTATATAAGCTATGTGCTCATTATTTACCATAAACCCAAAACTTTTACCTTACAAATCAGTGATGTTCCGAGCCACCATCAAAGACAGAAATCGGGGCCCATTCAGGCATTTGTTAATTAATCAGTATCGGCCACCACAGCCCGATGAAAAGCCAGATCTATTTAATTCCCCGCGGGCGCCCAATTTACGTAAAATGCGCAGATTATGAGGTTCCGTCATATGATACAGTAGATTTGGGCGTCGAGGCGCGTGACTTGAAACTGCGAACTGTCGACATGTCAGACGTGTGGAAATTCTTTCAATTGGAAACTCAAAGCAGCCAAACAGCTACCTGCAATGTTTACAATGCCACCCTTTGTAGACGAGGTAGCAACAGAGCGTCGTTTAATACAACGAATCTAATCAGGCACTTGCAAAGTCGGAGCCTACTGTCTGTTTAAATATTAGTTCAAAAATCCGATCGGGGCTTGGCCAGTGTATGTAGGTTTATTGAATGGATCGGATCGGGATATAAAAAAGTGAATCGGGAAGTCTCTAAAATGGGTTTCAAAATCGTTTAAAGCTGCTTCTCGCTAGATGGAGCCATCAGACCATAAATAAGTTAATTTTTCCTTAAGCCGATTTTAAATTAGGATACTTAACGGTTTCTTCGTCGCCCGTGAGAGTTAGCATCCCGATGTGTCAGATAGAACTTTAGAGCATCCAGAGGATGTTATCCGACTAAGCAGAAAATCCGGCTTCGTGATACAGGCCCCAGGAGTACCGTAGTCCAGGTTGTTCTTCATAGTGTTGTGTGCCACCCCAAGTGGCCTGGTATTATATCAATGACAATTGCATTTGTTGCTTTCAGATTTCCAATTTGTAGTAACAGCTTGCTACTAAATGTGCAGGGGCCCTTAGTTATATACCATGATAATGATACAATTGGATGTAAAACTTCTTGTTTTTTCTTATTAAAATAAAACTTAATGTTTTTTTTTTGCAGTTTAAGCAGCTGAACATGGACTGTACTCTGTCCTCAAATCAACAGAACATTATTTTGAAAAGGTAGGTAGAATAAACACTGTTGCCTCACACCTCCAGGTTTGGGGTTCAAATCCCATCCGTGACTCTGTGGGCGTTTGCATGTTCTCTTGTGTTTGTGTGGGGTTTCCTCTCAGCTCTCTATCTCTCCCTTGTCCAGAGGCTTACGGTTTGTCTTTAAATTGCATTTCACTCTTTGTATGACTTATGCCGGATTGGACTCCTGTCTTGGGTCCCATTATTCCACCATGACCACTGCTTAAGCAATTATCGAAGGTGGAAGGTAAATAATACCTGTGAGCATGTTTTCTGACTGATCTATGTGCTGCCGTTTGCATTTCACTTGGTACAGCTCCGTCGGCATAGACAGAACCATAGTACAGAAGGAACCAGGAATTTTTGTTGACCAGATCACCAATCACTGCTGGACGTGGGGGACTCAACTGCATGGTATGTCGCATCTCCAAACAGCCTCTTATTTTCTCATATTTCATTGCATGGCACTGTGTTTTTTACCATACACTCCTCCTGTAGCCTGCTGTATTCTGCAGTATAATTATGGGCTACCTCGTGCACCAAGGATATCTTTTGGCATTAAAAACCAGCGTTACAAGACAATGGCATCTCATGGTGCCATTCCAAGGAAGGACATAATCAATCAGCTAAAAAATACCACCAATTCGAAGATGGGATGTGAAATAGCCATTTATTCAGGCCTGTATTAAGGCACTTAGCTATTTGTATTCCTAAGTTATAGCAGATTCTCTCACCAAAATCACAGTGTTTCTTTGAAAAGAGAATATAATGTATGTAAAGTGAAATATAGCTCACACCTCCACTTGTTGGATCCCATTGAGCCATTTTTTTTCTTTGTCCAGCAGACCCTGTGACCGGGGCCCTCAGCAGCACCCAGGCCCAGCGTTTGGAGGCTCGCTATGTATCCCACATGCTGCCTGACTATCAGCATAATGTTTACATCCCTGGTACCACCCACAGCGACCTACATGTCCACAGCTCTTTCTCAACCTTTGGGAAGAAAACTGCAATCACATCCAACTTTGAGGCCAAAGGGGCATCTGTGATTGTTTTAAACAAATAATTTAAACCTACTGCTTATGGATTTTCTGTCCCTTGGAAAACTTCAGGTGGCCTCTGTCACTGATGCTGTCTTGTGACTGATCAAGGTTACCTTCCTTAACGTGGTATTAAAGGAGACTGTGTGGAGGTTACTGTGGTTACTGTGGTATGCAATGACCTGCCTTGTATCTGCATATTTCGTATGGATGCTGATATGTGTTCTGTTATAAAAGTGTGCCAAATAGTGTGACGGATTTCTAAAAATCAACTTTCACCAACACTGCTGCTTCTCACAGCTGTAGACACTAGAATAATGTACATTGTCGTAATTGTGACAGCTCTGGGTGGCGTGGTGGTGCAGTGGTTGGGACTGTCGCCTCACACTTCTGGGACCAGCGTTTGAGTCTCCACCAGGGTTCTGTGTGTGTGGAATTTGCATGTTCTCCCCGTGTTGTTGTGGTGTTTCACTTAGGTTCTCCAGTTTTTCCCCACAGTCCAAAAACATGCTGAGGCTGATTGGAGTTACCGAATAGTGTGTGAGTGCACCCTGTGGTGGGTTGGTGCCCCATCCTACGTTATTCCCTGACTTGTGTCCATAGGCTCCAGCCCCCCCCACAACCCTGATTATGGATGGATGAATAATAAGGTCTCTTTGTTACCTATTATGTGTGGATATTTCTATGGCTTGTTTTCAGTCTGGCTTCGGCGATTCTCAGCTCTGAGGAGGCTCTCGCATCACAGGTCATACATGTCAACATCACCTTTGATGTGTAGCCAATCAGCAGCTTGTACACGACATCACTGGCACCTAATAAAGCGGTGTCCATGAAACAGAGACATTCAGCTGCTAACATGAAATAAGAGTAATTAAAGTAATTAAAGTTTGTGCTATTCGCATAATGTTAAGGTTCATATTTAAAACTTTAGTAGTAACGTTTGTGTTTGAGCCTCCTTGACAGTTGTATGTTTGTAATGTGCTATTTCTCTTTACTTCTTCCTTACTAATTTCCCTACTTGTGCACCACTTCAGACAAAAGCATCTCCTGAATAATGTGTATGTAATGTGATTGTCATTAGCATAGATTAAAGTGTGCATTTTAGCTTTGCAAGCGAAAGGTGTTCTGGTTGGAGTGAGTGTGTGCATGCATGCATGTCAGTGTGTTGGGGATGGCATGCTGGCACTTTAATAATAATAATAATAGGTTACATGTATATAGCGCCTTTCACAATCCCAAGGTCACTTTACTGGGGGGAGGGAAAAAAAATCTAATCAGGAAGAGAAAGTAAAGAAATGTTCATGGAAGAGAAATGTCTTTAGTTCAAATTTGAAGGAAGAGGAGGAAGAGCAGTCACGGAGAGATCGTGGAAAAGAAGGGAGACACTGTATTTCTCCTATTTCAATTTCATACATTTATTAATTTAAACAATTCAGCAGAACAATACAGGTTCTCATCAATAATTAATTTTATCTGACTTGTAGGTGTATATTTATGTATGTAGCGCAGCTTAAGTGTAACAGACATAAATATGCACTAAACATATTGCCAAAAAAATCGCAACTTGAGCAATCATGACATCATGTTTGCCTCATCTGAAAGGTATTTTGAATCCTGGGCTCACCTGTATAGGTGTTTATTATTCATTATTCATTAGTCTGTTTTTTTGGGAGAAGGCAGTTTAAAAATATTCATTAAGTATGAGTCATAAGGGACAGTGATTCCATACACAAACATCCGCTGGATCTGTCTGTAAAGAAAAAGCACATATTTAATTCACAATGGAACAACTAGTTCTGACTCACTGAGCAACATTATACTATATAGATGCCAACCACAGAGCACATTTGAAAGATGTTCACTGTAGAAACAGTTCATTAAGCACAAATGTGTCTGTTTTTTCATCAGACAAAGTGCTATACATCCAGAGCAGCATGCAAAGTGCATGTAATCCTATGGCAAAAATCAGGCTTATTCGGATTTAAGTCTGGAAGGGTATAATCTCCTGACCTTTCCTTTCCAGACCATCGGGGTTATTGATTTTAGAGAAAATTCAATCTCTGTTTAGTTCGGTGGCTTAGCTGCTTAAATTGGCTATACCTAGTAAACAGGAAAGCATATGGTTAAATCCCAGCAGTTCCATATTTTGGACTCTATATCCATGATCAGAAGGTCTCCAGTTCAACTCCCATGCCCGTTAGAGTGATTTTACTATTTGGTCACTTTGGATAAAAGCTTCAAGTACATGTGAAAGTTAATGTTTCAATGATTAATGTGGCTCTCGCCGATTTTATACACACTGCGTCGCTGTTCCATAATAAATCACTCATGAGCACTATGCAGCTCACGAGAAATTACGTCTTTGGACACAACTGAAGCACAACCTCCTCCAGTACGTTAAAAACACTCCGCGTGGTCTTGTGTGTAAGAAGGTGACACCGCTGTGAGATTATTTAAGCATCGATATAGTGTTTTCGACGACTTCGCGATCGCTGCAATGACGTTGCGCTTCAACCCGAAGCCAAAGGAAAGGTACGTTTCCGCTTTGCTGGTATTTTGCGGGATGTGGAATGCAGCTTTGTCCGTGACTCGTTACTCTATTCCCGAAGAAATGGAGGAAGGATCAGTTGTAGCAGATTTAGCTGTTGATTTAGGAATAGATGTCAATGATTTGCAACAACGTGGTATAAAATTAGACATAATCCATAGCAAGAAATACTTGGAAATCAACAAAGATAGCGGAGAACTATATATTTTAGAGAGAATTGACAGAGAATACTTATGTCCCGTGAAAACATGGGAATTCTATGTTCCGTGCCTTCTTAAACTAGACGTAATAATCGAAAACCCTTTGCGTATCTTTAATATAGAGTTGGAAATCACAGATATTAATGATAACGCACCACAGTTCCGTAGAGATAAGGTGGAATTGGATATATCAGAATCGGCTACACCAGGAGAAAAATTCTCTCTAACTAATGCAGTGGACCCGGATATCCGACCGAACTCAATTATAACGTATAATTTGAGTGAAAGCAAACACTTCTCAATAGAAATTCAGTCGGGAATCGATGGTGCTAAGTACGCCGACTTGGTTTTGAAAAAGCATCTTGATCGGGAAGAGCGAGCTGTACACAATCTCTTACTCACGGCCGTAGACGGCGGCGTTCCTGTGCGCTCAGGTACCGCCAGCATCATTGTGCGCGTGTTAGATGTTAATGACAACGCCCCTCGGTTTGATCGGGAAACATACACGGTGAACATCACCGAAAATGCCCCTATTGGCACTCTGGTTATCAAGTTAAACGCCACAGATTTAGACGACGATACAAATGCTGAGATAGCATATTCTTATACCCTGTATACGTTTGAAAAGACGCAGGAGATGTTTTCGCTCGACTCCAACACGGGAGAAATAAAGCTAAAGGACGTCATTGACTTTGAAAAAATAAAAAGTTTCGAAATGCATATTCAAGCTAAAGATAAAGCATTAAGCCCCCTTTCAGGACAATGTGAAGTAAAGGTGTTTGTGACAGATTTAAATGACAATTATCCTGAAATAACCATTCAGTCATTTAAAAGCGCTATAAAAGAGAACGCTGCTATAGGAACAGTAATAGCGCTTATTAGTATTAGCGACAGAGATTCGGGTGACAACGGCAAAGTTGACCTTTCAATGAACCAACATTTACCCTTCACACTGAATAAGTCCTCAGAAAGCCATTTCACACTGGCTGTGTCAGAACCTTTGGACCGTGAAAAAGTTCCAGAGTATGAGATAACTTTTATAGTGACAGACAGAGGTTCACCACCCTTGTCCAATAATGAAACGATCGCATTGGAGCTGCTGGATGTGAATGACAATGCACCAGTCTTCCCACAGTCCTTCTACACCATTCCAGTGATGGAGAACAATGCACCAGGAGCGATGTTGAGCTCAGTTGCAGCTTATGATCCAGACCTTCATGAAAATCAGTATCTCGTGTATTTTATTACGGAGAAGGAAATCGCGAACACCTCTGTGTCGATGCTATTTTCTATTAACCCAGAAAATGGAAATCTGTACGCACTAAAGACTTTTGACTATGAGAGGGAGAAGGAGTTCCTATTCCATGTTGAAGCCAGGGACTCCGGCGTCCCTCCACTCAGCAGTAATGTGACCGTCCACATCGTTATTTTGGACCAGAATGACAACAGCCCAGTCATAGTATCACCATGGCATACACAAGGCTCCATGGCTGAAGAGGTGATCCCGAGATACACAGAGAAAGGGTCCCTGGTTGCCAAAGTGGTCGCCCTTGACATTGACTCACCACAGAATTCAAGAATCACATACCAGTTTCTCCAGATACCTGATGCTACTTTATTCAGCTTGGACCGATTTAATGGAGAGATCCGGACAATGAGGATGTTCAGCTACAAAGACCCCCGACATCTGCGGCTGGTGGTTGTTGCCAAAGACAATGGCAACCCTGCTCTCTCTGCTACTGTTACCATCAAGCTGTCAACTGCAGAACAAGTGGTCAAGGCTATTCCTGAAAGCACACAAGTGCCTTTGGAATATGATGTGTTTTCAGAGGTAAATCTGTATCTGGTGATCGGTTTGGGCTCAGTGTCATTTTTGTTATTGATTACGATTTTGGTGAGCATCATAGTAAAGTGTCAGAAACCGAAGACCACCAAAGCCCATGCTGTTCCTCCTGCATGTAGGAATACCTTCATTCCCCCGAGGAACCCAAACATAACGGACTCAACCTTAATCTCCAACGATGCTTACTGGTACAGCTTGTTTTTGGCGGAAACCAGAAAAGGGAAGGTGGTGATCAGACAGCCAATTCCAAAGGGAGCTGGTTACATTGTTTCCAGTATGCCCCAAAGTACGGGCCAGACGGAGACCAGTGAGTCAACAGCGTCCACCCTACAAGTAAGTTAGGCATTTTCAATATTCATTAATTCATTCATTAATTGGTTAATTAATCAATCAATCAATTCACCCTTTGTTATTCGTCTCTTTACAAATGCACTGTATAGAGATAGAATATTATATATATATTTTTTTTCAATACTTTCTCAAGTTTTTTTCTTCCTAAATACTTTCCATAATGGAGCAGCTGTGAGTATTTCACTACAAATTGCACGTGCAAATCAAAACTTGACGATAAAAAATGCATTAAATTGTACTAGAATTAGTCAAAAGTGAATCAAAAGCTCTTAAGTTTGTTTATTGAATTGTGATCAACTATTTGCTTATATATCTTAATGACTGTTTGTCGGACTTGTTTCATTTTCTAAGAACTAAGATTTTTTAGAATTCCTTTTCATGCCGGTTCTGTACTTTTTTCATTTGAAAACTTTTAACATTTATTACGTAATTAAAAATTTCTGACAGCAGTGATAATCGTAATATCTCTCGTAATTTTCGGACACTTAGCGTCGCTCTGGAACAGTAGATCCTGTGAGGCAGAAATGGATGTGGAGCAGCCATGATTGTTAGACAGAATGTAAGACATCCATAGAGCACGCTGTCATCTTCGAGATCTTTGCACAATAGCGTCCGGTTCATTTATCTAATAATAGATTGTGCTTTTTTAAAGAATGACTGTGGAGGATTGTACGTTTGCATTCGGAGCTCAAATTACAACGATGATACCCATTTTTGGTTTGCTACTTAGGAAAAGGTATGTTTCGAGTTTTCTGATATTTTGTGTTACATTGAGAGTCGCTCTGTCGGTTACTCGCTACTCTGTACCTGAAGAAATGGAGGAAGGATCTATTGTGACAAATTTAGCCACAGATTTGGCTATAGATGTTCACGGTCTTAATGACAGAGAAGTAAAACTGGATATTATTCATAGCAAAAAATATCTAGACATTAACAAGGACACCGGTGAACTATACATTGTAGAGAAGATAGACCGGGAGTATTTATGCTTGGCAAAATCCGCTTGCTTTCTAAAAATGGATGTAATAATTGAAAATCCATTACGAATATTTAACATTGAATTAGAAATTAAAGATATTAATGACAATGCGCCGAATTTTCGAAGGGAGAAAATACAGCTGGATATTTTAGAATCAGTTTCACCCGGTGAAAGATTCTCCTTAACCAATGCGGTCGACCCAGATGTTGGTACCAACTCGATACGGACGTATTATTTAAGGGAAAATGAGCATTTCGACCTTGAGATACAGACTGGGAGTGATGGCACGAAATACGCAGGCTTGGTTTTAAAAAAATCATTAGATCGAGAAGAGCGAGCTGTACACAATCTCCTACTCACGGCTGTAGACGGCAGCGTTCCTGTGCGCTCAGGTACCGCCAGCATCATTGTTCGCGTGTTGGAT